AAGGTAGGGCTGGATCTCATGACCATGACCTGAGACCATGACATTAGCTGAAATCCAGAGTCAGAACTCCATCAACTGAGCCACCCAGGTGCCCCCAGAGAGATTTTTAGGGCTACAGCATGGACATAGTTTTGGATTTCATTTTTAGTGACATAGAAACTTATCAGGATGTAATCAGACATTTTAAAAGGATCACTCCTGCTCTTGAGTGGAGGAGAAATGGTAGGGAGTCAGGGTGGAAGTGGGGAGACTACTAATGGTATTAAATAATGTCATCAAAATTTATAAAAATGGTATGTAGGTTCTCAAAATAAATGGAAATCGGAATATGATCTGATTTTGCTATTCTAGTATGAACACTTCCACCAACTGCTTTTAAAAATCTCTCCCCCAAAAAATTGCTTAAAGAAGTGAGATATTAATGTGATCACCGGTATAAACTTACATAACACATTTCAAAATCTTCTCTTTGCTTATAGTAAGCGTTAAATAAATGTTATTGGCATTCTAATAAGTACAAAATGTTTATTCAGTAAAAATTCCAAGAAAGTATGGAGTCAAGGAAATATTTTACAAAACAAAAATGTCAGTCTTTTTTCTTCTTAGTCAACTAAAAAATATTTAAAGTATTTTAAATATTTAAAGTACTAGGATTGAACTCAACACCTTTCCAAAAAGACATATTAATTTTCCTGGATTTCAATTTTTATTCTTCAGATTTCTGAGCCATCAAGCTACTTTCAGCGATGATCTACCCAATCACATAATATCTGGAAGAGTTCTGATAAAACCAAATGTTAGAGAGTTCACAGAGACGTCCGCCATCTTTGAAGATGGCACAGAAGAGGACCTTGATGTTGTTATTTTTGCCACGGGATATACTTTCTCTTTCCCCTTTTTGGAAAATAATCCAACAGTAGTGGACAGCCAGCGCTCCATGTTTAAATTTGTCTTCCCTGCTCAACTGGAGAAACCAACCCTGGCTTTCATTGGCATTCTCCAGCCAGTGGGAGCCACCATTCCCACATCAGAGCTCCAGAGCCGATGGGCTGTCCATGTATTCAAGGGTATGTGATTACCTTATGCATGTTTAGAAAAGATGGCCATCCAGACAGTGTGATTTCAGAGGCATTGCAAAGCTCTTCTGCTGCAAAACCTAGTTTGAGGTTAACCTGTACAGTATCTGAAATTGTGCCACTTGAGATTTGTTACTTTGGGATTTGATTGCTATTTAACTTTCAGGATTCCTGTATGGAAATGAAGATTTAGGGCCCCTGGGTGGCTCAGTGGGTTAAGCCTCTGCCTTCGGCTCAGGTCATGGTCTCAGGGTCCTGGAATCGAGTCCCGCATTGGGCTCTCTGCTCAGCAGGGAGCCTGCTTCCCTCTCTCTCTGGCTGCCTCTCTGCCTACTTGTGATCTCTGTCTGTCAAATAAATAAATAACATCTTTAAAAAAAAATGAAGATTTAAAAACCACAACTTTACATATCAACCAGCGACCACTTGTTGGCAAAGAATTCTTTAGAGCACTTCAGGACAGTATATAGTATAGGAAGTGAGGGCAGTAGAAGAAAGATCTCAACCCAGAGTATAGACAGGAAATAAAGACCTTTGATAAACCCAGGCTTAAAATTCAGCCCCTCCATGTACTGGCTGCATGATCTTGTCATGTTCCCTGACCTCCACAGTTTCCTCATTTATAAAAATGGGAATATTTACATATACTTTGCAGGGTGGTAAAAATGAATAATTAAACACCCTGACTTTTATGGACATTCAATAAATATTGAATGAAAGATTAACCACTGCTGTTATAACTACTATTATTATTTATTATATCATTAATTCTAAGGTTGAGAATGAATTGATGAAGACAGATTCAAACCCTACCTTTATGGGGGTGGCCGGCTAGTTCTGTCACTGGAGCATGCAACTTTTGATCTCAGAGTAGTGAGTTCAAGCCCCATGTTGGGTGTAGAGATTGCTTAAAAATGAAATCTTAAAAAAAAAAAAAAAAACAAGGAAAAACAAAAAACCTAACTTTATGAAACCTAACTTTATGAAATGATGTCAATCACATTGTATACTTCTGCTTATTTGTTTGTTTCTCCTTTAAAAATTCCCCCATATTTTCTGGAACATTCTGTATTTCTCAAAATATAGGATGTCACTCATCAAAGAAGTGAAGGAGAATTATAAGAAGGTGACTTCCATGAGTTAAGATGGAAAATTAGTATGAATTCTCTGTCTAATGACAACAATCAGGAGACAGTGAGTCACTATTAGTAGATACAATATATATTTGTAAAGGAATTCATAACATAAATCAACAAGTGTAACTCACTATTTAAAGGACACCCAGCGTGAATATTCCGATAAAGGGACTACACACACACATTACTTCGTGTCTTGTCAGTTGGGTGCAGCTCCCTTCAGTCCATCCTTCATTGTGAGCTTTGAGGTCTCCACTAGTCAAGGTGCAAACTCATTAAAGGACATGCCTTTGCATTGAATGCCTGATGAAACAATGAATGGAGGGCATTCCAGAGTAACTCCTGGGATCCATCTCCCCTAGTCTTGTACTAACTCATTTGTGATGTTTTCTGCCAAACAGATTCTCAGGGTTTTCATTTCTTGTGGAACTTCATCTTCTTTCTTTCCTAGGATTGAACAAATTACCTTCGATGAGGGGCATGACGGATGACATAAGAAAGAAGAGGGAAAAAATGGAAAAAGAGTAAGAAACTTGCTTCTTGGTGAAAGTCAGTTGAGAGCGTTTAAGTGGAATGGTTTGCTTATCAATTTTCTCATCATAGAATCTGAGTGTATTTGCCTAGATGAGATCTCAAGTATCAATTTCATTTCTTCTTAATTGAGCATAACATAAATGTATGGAGTATGTGTGGGAAGAATGGATACAGAATAATCCAGTGTGGAAACTTCGGAATTGTGTTTAAAATTCTTGTAATGTTGGGGCGCTTGGGTGGCTCAGTGGATTAAAGCCTCTGCCTTCGGCTCAGGTCATGATCCCAGGGTCCTGGGATCGAGGCCCGCGTCAGGCTCTCTGCTCGGCAGGGAGCCTGCTTCCCCTCCTCTCTCTCTGCCTGCCTCTCTGCATACTTGCAATCTCTGTCAAATAAATAAATAAAATCTTTAAAAAAAAAAAAATAAAAAATAAAATAAAATAAAATTCTTGTAATGCTATATAAGCATACAATTATAAGTTTATGTCATAGCATAGCCTTAGAGGTGCAAAAGTGTATGAAATGCAAACATGAAATGAAGGGTTGTTCACTCTTCTAAGGAGTTGGAAAGATAAATCAATGTGAGAAATGAGTTGGCAAATCATTACAGAATCCAATTAAAATTCTGACATGAAATCAGAGGCTTGTAGGTTGTACCAAATCTTCTTAATTGAAAATTACTCTCAACCACTGGGGTTGGAAATGTATTTCTATGCAACAAATACCTGTTGAGAATCTACCACGTGGATGTCACAGCTTGTTCTCTACGATCAAAGTGTTCATCCTAAGAATAGTCTGTTATCCAGGAGCTGGTTTAAGAAGGTTGGCCAAGAATTGCATTTCACTAATACTGAAAATGAAATTAGTGTCACACCTACCTGAATAACTGGTCTGTATAATTCATATTTCCCACCAGTTTACTAAAATGAGACTATATCCTGAGTGAGAATCAGATGCATGGCCAAAGTATAGAAGATTTCAGAAAAGAGTATTATTAATATGACAAAAATCTTCTGAACCCCACCTATGACTATGCAAGACCCCAGCAAGGATTTGAGAGTGAAAAATACATTTTATGAATATTGTGTTAAGAAACCCTGAGATGGGGCACCTGGGTGGCTCAGTGGGTTAAAGCCTCTGCTTTCGGCTCAGGTAGTGATTTCAGGGTCCTGGGATCGAGCCCCGTATCGGGCTCTCTGCTCAGTGGGGAGCCTGCTTCCATTCCTCTCTCTCTGCCTACTTGTAACCTCTGTCTGTCAAATAAATAAATAAAATCTTAAAAAAAAAAAGGACCCCTGAGAAATTTTCAATAGCTATTCATTCTTTCTCCCGTGGATTATCCCCTCATACAAAGTCCACCGATGTTTAGAAGAAATTGTGCTCGGAGGGATGGGGGTTGTCATCTGACTTGCGGTTGTTTATTTTTTTCCCCCTTCTGATTTCAGATTCCTGAATAACCCTCGTGACACACTCAGAGTGCAGTTCGTGGATTACATGAATGAGATAGCCTCTGAAATAGGAGTGAAACCCAACCTGCTCTCACTCTTCCTGTGGGATCCGAAGTTGGCTATGGAAATTTTCTTTGGACCGTGCACGCCTTACCAGTACCGCCTGCGGGGACCAGGGAAGTGGGCTGGGGCCCGGAGAGCCATCCTGACCCAGAGAGAGCGGATCATCAAGCCCCTGAGGACTCGCACCCTCACCCGTGACCAACCTCCATTCTCTGTGCCATTTTGGCTTAGAAGTGCCTGTGCCGCTCTTCTCTTTGTTCTCGTTTTAGTCATTATTAAAGGATAATCCTATGATCATTAGGACATTAGAGGCTAACAGTAACATACACTAATTAAGAGATGGGCATGTACCAGTGTTTATTCCTCAGTTCCGACGGAACCAGTACAATAAATGATCTGATAACTCCACAATTTCTCATGTAGAAGTATTTTGGCCAAATTGGAGATTTCTTCAACAGAGACTTCAAATGAAGTGGCGTGTATGAAACTTGCTTTGGAAGTGTATAGTTAATTTCCATAACGTGACAGATGTTCTCCTTTATGCCAAGTTCTCCTAGGCCTGCCCTTTCTAGTAAACACACGGTTTGTCAGCTGTTGGCAATTGGCAAATTCTTACTTTTGCATGGAAAGCATAGGCTAGGAAAAAATATCTCTTCAAACGATCTTGAATAGCTAACAATGAACAAATGTCTTCATGAGAAACCTTCTCCACTAGGGTCACATTCTATAGAATTACGGATATTGAGGTAACAGGTTGCTTGTACCCAGGTTATGTCAGGTATTACTGAAGGTATTTTAGGGGATGGAGTATGTTATGGAGGAAAAAAGAAGGAATAATAGAAGTCAGGAGATGTTCATAATTTTGTTTTCTATTAAAACAATTGAAACATTGAACAAATTTTACAGCAAACATACAAATTCTATAAAAACATTCAGGAGAATGGGAAGAAGAGACAGAAAGAAAAAGCAAATATACATAGATGTGGTGGAATGATTACCATAATCTAGGTAATTAACATATCCATCATCTCACATAGGTATGTTTAGTTTTTAGGTGAGAACACCTAACATCTTACCCTTTTAGCAAATTTTGATAGTATTATATTCAATACAATATTTAACAATTTAGTCATACAGTATTATTAAGTATAGTCACCACACTGTACATTAGGTCTCCAGAACTTACTCATCTTGTAACTGAATATTTGTTCCTTTGACCAACCTTTCCCCATTTCCCCCCAACCATCGGCCCCTGGTGACCACTCTTCTACTCTCTGTTTCTAAGAGTTCAACTTTTCATAATTCCACATACAAGTGAGATCATGCAGTATTTGTCTTTCTGTGTCTGGTTTATTTCATTGAGCATAACATCCTCCAGTTTCCCCCATTATGACACAAATGGCAGGATCTCCTTCTTTTATAATGTGAATAATACTCCATTATATATATGCATACACACACACACCATATTTTCTTCATCCCTTCATCCATCGATGGGCACTTGGGTTGCTTCCCTATCAGCTTTGTGAGTAACAACACAATGAATTTGGGAGTGCAGATATCTCTTTAAGATCCTGTTTTCATTTCCTTTGGACATTTACCTACAAGTGGGATTGCTGGATCATGTATATAGGAGCTCTATTTTTAATCTTTTGAGGAATCTTCATACTGTTTCCCATAGTGGCCATACCGATTTACATTCCCACCAAGAGTGTAAAGGGGCCTCCTTTTTCAGTCTCTTGATTCCTCTCTCTCATATCCCATATCTAGTCAAACAGCAAAACATATCACCTTTGAAGTCAATCCAGAGTCTCACCTCTTCCCATCCCCTCCACCACTGCCACCTTAATCCCTACTGCCATCTTTTCTTTGTATCATTATAATAGTCTCCCTATCATAGTCCTTTTTTCACCCCTACTCTCTGTGGTTTATTCTCATTAGAGCAGCCAAATGATACTTTTAAAACATAAACCAGATTATGACATATTATGTCCAAAATTGCCAGTGGCTTCCCTTTCACTCAGAGTAATGGCTAAATTGGAATAATCCTACCGGTCCTTTCATAACCGACTTCCGCTCTACTTGTCTGACCTCCCCCCGACCCACTCCTGCTCTCTTCTGCGTTCATTCCTTGAACAGGCCAAGCCTACTCTCACTGCAGGGTCATTGCACTTGCTGTTCCTTTTCCTGGAACACTCCTCCCCCTGCATACCCACAAAGCTCTCTCTTTCCTTTCAGGTCTTGGCTCAAATGTTATCTTTTTAAATGAGATTTTTTTTTTTTCATGAACATTATAATCCATTTGGTAAAATTCTGAGCTTTACGTTATATTGTTTATCTTTTTGGTTTGCAGGTTTACAAGGTTTTTTTTTTCTTTCTTTTTAATATTCATTTATTTATTTGAGAGGGAGACAGACAAGAAGTGGAGAGAGGGGCAAAGGGAGAGAAAGAATCCCAAGCAAACTCCCCACTAAGGGCAGAGCCCAACATGGGGATTGATTCCAGGACCCTGAGATCATGACCTGAGCCAAACTTAACTGACTGAGTCACCCCGGCCAGCGCCCTGGTTCTTTTTTTTTTTTTTTTTTCTTCAAGTGAGATCTTTCTTGACTACATGCAATAGCAATTCCCATCCTCCTCATCCTGCTTTATCTATCACTCTATTCTCAAAGAGCTCAAAATCTAATAGGGCAAACTAGCCACCTGAACAGACGAATAACACCTGGCCATGGACACATCTGTCTATAGCTAATATAGGAACAAGCGCTGTTGGAATACAGAAGACAGAGCAAAGAACTCAGAGAAAGGGAAGCAAGGAAGGAATCACGGACAAGGAAAATGGACTTGGCTCTCTAAAGATGCAAAAGATTTTATTTCTGGAAAAAAACAAGGACATCAATTATGCAATGTATGAGTGAGCAGAACAGCCTAGAATGCCAGAATATTCAGGAAATGAACCTAGCGTGGGGTATGTGAGAGTGGGTGACAGAAAAGCCTGAAGCGGTGTTTTGGAGATAGAAATGGAAGGACTTCTGCCCTCCACACCTATCCCAACTCCCTTTGCTCATCTGGACCAGAACCAGAATTTTCCATATCCTCACCCTCCACCTCCCTGCATCCAGCTTCCACCCCTCATCATACTGTCTCCTAAAGGGCCACCAGAGTCAAATTTCTAAAAAGCAGATCTATTCCCATCATTCCCCTGCTTAAAACTGATTTCACTCATTATCTTCTATGGAGCCAAGCTCAACTCCTTAGCTTGCATATAAGGTTTCTTTTTATAGGTTGTATGTCAAGTGAAATTTTTCATTTTTTGTCTGTTTTGTTTCTTTTGTTTTTCTGCCTCACCAAACTTTCCATTTTTATTAAAGTTGTTTTCACTTTATTAATCCAGAAATGTCATGCTGGAATTCAAATTTACGTCTGATATATATTTCAGTTGTGCCCACATCAGACCCCTGACCATACTTCTGAGATTCATCATGCAAACATAACCACATAAGAGTAATTTCAGGGGCGCCTGGGTAGCTCAGTTGGTTAGGAGTCCATCTCTTGGTTTGGCTCGGGTCATGATCTCAGAGTCGTGATCTCAGTCGTGATCCCTGCGGCTCACAGTGGAGTTGGCTTGAGATTCTCTGTCTTCCTCCCCCTCCGCTCCTCCCCGACCCACTGGTGCACATGAGCTCGCTCTCTCACTCTCAAATAAATAAATCTTTAAAACACACACACAGGGGCACCTGGATGGCTCAGTGGGTTAAGCCTCTGCCTTCGGTTCAGGTCATGATCCCAGAGTCCTGGGATCGAGCCCCGAGTCGGGCTATCTGCTCAGCGAGGAGCCTGCTTCCTCCTCTCTCTCTGCCTGCCTCTCTGCCTACTTGTGATCTCTGTCTGTCAAATAAATAAACAAAATCTTTTAAAAAAATTTAAAAAATAAATAAAAAAATAAAACGCACACACACAGCAATTTCAAGCATAGAGAAAGGGGTTTTTTTTTCTTTTATTTGTTTTCATTTTTTGGTAGTTCTGGTCTAGCCTCCTACTGTCAAACGATCCCCTTCAACAATGGTCGTCAAAGTTCAGTGTGCATCCGATTCCTCTAGAGAGCTTGTGAAAACACTGATTGCTCCACTCTGTCCCCAGAGATTATAATTTGGTAGGTCTAGCGTGGAGCCCAAGAACTGTCATTTCTAACAAATCCCAAGGCAATGTTGCTGCTGCTGTCTGGGGGCCACAGTTTGAGAACCACTGCCCTGTAACAGTTATAACCACATGATTACTTCTGAGATCATTTCATATGTTCATGGGAAGTGAATTCTAGCAAGAATGTCGAAGTATGGGTTTTCAGAAAAATGACAGCTTCTGCTCATTCTTCCTGGAGCAGATGCACAGACAGATACAGAATGGGAGATGCCAGACCCACAGGGACCCTGGGAGGACCAGCTCAGCACCCTCTCCAAGTGAGTCACAGAGGTGTTCTCTAGTGTACCCTTCTGGGAGACCTAGAAAGGGATTCTTCTTGGTCGCAGACAATCCTGTCTGAGGCTGGCCCTGCCCGTGGGCCCATGAGTAGGAACAAAACCCCCTACGCTATTGGCCTCTACACATCTAACACCTACCTTAGAGCTCACATCAGTCAAGGCTCACAGTAAATACTTACACCTGCATGATCAAGTTCCACTGAACCCAAATACCCTGGAGGGGTTCCATGCAAACGGAAGTACTTTTGAAATGTGTTTCCTGCTCTATGCTTATCCAGGATCTTTGATGGTGTCTATTTCAAAGAAACAGTAATTGCATGTATATTATAATTTTTGACATCAGGTAATACTTTGTACAAAATCCCTCAGAGGTCAGAAAATTTTTAATATCCTTTCATCCCCAAGAAATGAAACAGATATGTTCAGCGGTCTGGCTTAAGGCCGTACACTGAGTCACTGTTGGGTGTGGAGATTAAAGACCCAAGAACTCTAAGAGTTACATGTTGTCCCTGAAACAACACCGTTGCCCGGTCACTGCTCCCCACTGTTCCCTTGCAGAAATTACTAAAAGAACTGGAGAAAATTAAGAGCAAAGAAATAGAGAAATCATGATATGAGACTGGAATGATTCTCTGAAGACATCTAAACATAGAAATTTCTCATAATTATTTCCGTTCCGAGTGCAGTCCTGAGCACAAACATCAGTGTTGTTTTCTGGAAAAATGCTACATAATGACATGGTTTTTAAAAATTACAATGTTGGGGTGCCTGGCTGACTCAGGCAGAAGAGCATGCAACTCTTGATCTCAGGGTCCTGAGTTCAAGCCCCATGCAGGGTATCAAAATTACTTAAATAAATAAATTTAAGGGGCATCTGGTTGGCTTAGTAGGTTGAGTATCCAAGTCGGTTTTTGGCTTGGGTCATGATCTCAGGGTTGTGAGACTGAGCCCAGAGCCAGGCTCTGCTCAGCGCGAGGTCTGCTTGCCCCTCCCTCCCCAATAGCCCCTTCCCTCCCCTTGCATGCACACCTGCACTCTCTTTCTTGCAAACAAATAAATAACATCTAAAAAAATAAATAAATAAACTTAAAAAAAAAAAAGCCACAGAAACCTGGATCTAAAATGTCAAATTTTGCTAAGACATGTTGGGATGGAGATGAAGAGAGACTGAGCTTGTGCTAAGTTCCCAGTCCTACTAAGGAGGGCGCAACCTGCACCCTTCACTTGTGACTGCACCGTGGTGATTCTGGGACACCACTGGGGATGGAAGTGTTCCTGCCTTAGCCTTAATGGCACGTTCTGGAAGTTTGCTGTGCTCTGTTCCCCTGGCTCTGCCCCTTGTCAGTTCTGCTGATTCTGTTCTCCTGGACCACACCCAAAATGGGCTGTAGGGACTCTGCCTTCCTTCCAAGGGTCATGTTTAGTCTCCAACTGTCATGGTCAGTTTTCATTCAGGCAGATGGTTCTTTTGACAGCATGACTCTCAAAACTGAGCTTATCTCTTCAGTTCCTGCCAGCTGCAAGCAGCAATAGGAAGCTTGCTGTACTCCTTTGCAGTCCTCACCTATGCCTCTCCCCTCTGAACCCTCACCCACATCCACACTTACCCTATGCCTTCTGTTTCTCTTTCACGCGCTTCCCCACCCCATCTTGAGTGGATTGCAAGTTCTTCTGCTCAATTGAAAGGCTTTACTGAGCACCAAGGCCAAGGCTAGACCTTGACACTTTAATTCACTCAGAGGTTTTAACAATGAGTGGGATGACTGCACCCTTTATTTGACGCCTTCCCAAGACTGGGTTTTAATCAGCCTTTGTCACTCAAAGGCCTTCCCAGTTTTGTAGTTTATTTATTACATTAAGCTGCAGTTGCCTCTTCCAATCCTGTAAGCCCCTAATTTTTTAATTCTTTTTATTCCTCTTACTCTTGCTTGCTAACTGGCCAGCTCCTTACTGTGCTTATTTCTTTCTTACAGTACTGAACCAACCAGAGCAATCAACACACACTCCTGTTTCTACACCCTCCCCAATTCCAAAGTGCGGATTCCCCCCCAAACACCAAGCAATTTGCTGACACCAGTGGGGTGTCCCAAAATTCGACGCCAATTCTGACCCTATTTAGAGACAACATCAGATTCCCAAGGGCTCCATCCTGCAAGACTGCCCCACTTCAGATCCCCATCACAAGCCAGTTGTCTGACTGCCTATAAATAAGAGGTTCGAAGACCCACTCCTTGGGTTTGATTAATTTGCTAGAGTGGCTCACAGAACTCAGAAAGCAGTTCCCACAGCTGGATGAAGAGATACACAGGGCGAGTTTCTGAACAAAGGAGTGTCTGTCCTTTTGGACAGACAGGTGGCAGGCGGGAGGGCTCTGGTTCACAACCTGGAAGCTCGGCAAACACCATCCTTTGGATTTTTCTGTAGGCTTTGTTACAAAGGCATGATTGATTAAGTCATTGGCCAGTTGATGGCTGATTCAACCTCCAGACCATCTCTGGAAATCAGGGGATGGAAATGAGAGTCCCAACCTTCCATTCCTGTTGGCTCTCCCGGCAAGGAGCCCCATCCTTAAGTGCAAGCTAAGCCGCCTCCTTAACATAACAAAAGACAACTTTACTGCTCTCCTCTCAGAAAATGCCAAGCATTTGAGTTGCTCTGTGCCAGGGAAGAAAACCAAATATATATTTCTACAAATCACAATATCTCAATTCCTAACATTGTTTTCCAACCTCTCTCTCCAGGGTCTAAAGCAGAAGACAGCAAACTTTCTGCGGAGGTTGAGATAGCCGCACTTTAACTGCCGGAGACGCCGTCCCGCTGCAGCTGCTCAGCCTGGAGGCTCTGGCAGCCACAGACAGTAATGACATGGATGAGTATGGCTGTGTCCCAGGAAAACTTTATTTATGGGCACTGAAATCTGAACTGCATATAATTTGCACATATTGTGAAATGGTATTTTTCTTTTGACTTTTTTCCCAATCATAGGAAAATGTAAAAACCATTCTTGGCTGCAGGCTGTATGAAAACAGAGTGGGCCCGGTTTCGGCCTGTGGGCCACAGTTTGCAGACCACAGTTTGCAGACCCTTCTTTAGAATTAGAAGTGACTTGATCATAAGCATTGCAGGTCCTCACAGGTGGCCATTTAACCAAAAGTCTCGGCTCTAAATTAGACCCTTAACACTTTCCTAGATTTTTGGCATGGCAGCATCACATTTTAAGGTATCAGTTTATCACTCAGGATGACAGATTTTACTGCCATTCAAACAGCCGTCAAGCTTCATCCACTCAGAATTACAAATGTTTATTTCAATGTGTACTGTGGTGAGGTCAGCAGGGGGGATCGACACACAGTCAACCAGGGACCCAGGCGGGCGGAAGAAGCTCCATCTCTGCTCATCTCTGCTTCCAAAATTGTTGAGATGTGAAAGAGGGACCATGGTGAATTGTGTATTCACTATTCAAACACCACCTAAAAGTGGAATGTGTCCCCACCACTCACATATTACTGGCCAAAGTCAGTCATGTGGCCACACCTGACTTTCAAGATGAAAAGTGAAATCCTATCACCATTAAGATAGAACAGTTTCCCGGAAGTCTGAGAGCTGGAACATGTTTGAACAGCCCAGATTTCCTGGACACAGGACTAGGTTACAGAATATTCTGAAAACTTTCACCAGTAAAACCAAATACAATGTACACAACTTTCTAGAGACCAGAGAAGGGACAAGCAAAGGCACCATTGCCCATGTAGTAAGGAAAAACACGGATCCCTTTAAAAACAGAAGCCATATAACACAAAGATGGAAATAAAGTCCAACTTATGATTTTCGAAAATAAATGTAAATGGGTTAAACTCTCGAACTGGTTGAATAAGGCAAAGTCTAACTACAGAAGATAAAACAAATGACTCAAAAGATTAGACCAAGGAACAGAAAACCATGTTTCACAAGCCAAATCAAGCCCAGTTCAGTGTCTATTTTTATTAATAAAGTTTTTACTGGAACGCAGCCACATGGCTGTTTTCTGTGGAGTAGTTTGCAATAGAAACCATATAGCCCACAAAGCTTAAACTATTTAGCTGCCTCTTTACAGAAAAAAAAAAAAAAAAAAAAAAAAAAAAAAAAAAGTTTACTGACCTCTACATTAGGCAGGGAAGGATAGACTAAGATATAGAATATAAACAGAAATAAATCAATTATAATATTTTTAATAAAGTGGAATGAAATGTCAGCCTTCACTAAGTGGATAGAAAATCCTCATGTTTTAATGAATGGGAAAATGAGCTCAGATTAGAACAACTCACATTTTTTCAATTTCTTTTTAAGCTGCACAATACTCTCTTTAAGGTAGAGGCTTATTTAATTCCCTTAATCATAATGCTTCCTTTATAATCAATGAGGGTTAAATAATAATTTTTCTTTCTATCAAAACAAAGTATTCAGTATCCAATTTGCTTCCTTTCAAAGAATGGTGTTTGACTAAACCACACAACACAAGACTGTGGGCACAGTGTTAGATAATACTGAAATGAATTTGGGTTAAACATATGAAAAATTTTTGGAAATTCTGTATAGCTTACATTTATAACATACATAAGACCTTAATGATTTCATTAAACCAAAATGTTTTATAAATGTTTCTTAAATTAGGTAAATGCAATTTTTCTCTATCTCTACTATTCTTGTATTGGATTAAACTTTTTAAACTACAAACTGAAAACATCATAGCTCACCTATTTGCAATCAATGCTCCCCTCATTTAATTGCTTGAAGGGCTCTATCCTAGTTTGAAGGGAATTCTCCACTAGAGCTGAAGTAAGCTTACATGCTCTAGAAGAAAGCAGTTCCTTTAAAACTTCTAAGTCACCAAAACAAAGAACCCACATATCCATTACATATATTTTTTTAAGATTTTATTTATTTATCCGAGAGAGAGGGAGAGAGAAAGAGAGAGAGAGATTATGAGCAGAGGGTGAGGAGAATGGAGCTTAGAGATAGCAGGGAGCCAGGGTAGAGACAAAGCAGACTCCCCACTGAGGAGGAAGCCCAAGGCAAGACTCCATCCCAGGACCCTGGAATCATGACCCAAGCTAAAGGCAGGTGCTTAACTAACTGAGCCACCCAGATGCCCTCCATTATGTATCTTTTAATCCACTGCTTAGTTTTTGAAAATCTGTGAAAGACATTGTATACATCCATGAGTTCCTCAGGTAATTAATATCATGAAATGGTGTCTTAATGTTGACTCTCCTGTCCCAACACTCCTGAACAATTTGCTTATTTAGAACAAGTAGGACAGTGCTACATCCCCACTCTCCCTCCTATTCATTCCTCTCACAAATATTTATTGAATGTCCACAGTATGTATTAGCCAGCATTCTCAGTTCAGAGAAACAGAACCAAGAGGACATAAATAGATAGATAAACAGATAAACGTAGATATCTATCTATATATAAAGAAACACAGAGACAGAGAAATCTGGTGTGGAGAATTAGCTCACATGATTATGAAGGCTAGCAAGTCTGAAATTTGCAGGCAGAATGGAGACCCAAGAAAGAGAGAATGTTGTAGTCTTGAGGTTAAGGCAGTCTAGAGGCAGAATTCATCAGTTCTTGGAGGACCTCAGTCTTTCCTCTTAAAGCCTTCAGCTGGTCCCTGGGAGGCCCACAGACATACTGAAGAGCAATCTCCTTACTCAAAGTCTACCGATTTAAATTCTAATCACACCTAAACAAACACCTTCACAGCAACATCCAGACTGGTGCTTGCCCAGGAACACCACAGCCATAAAACTAACCATCCCACCTGCTGTGTGCCAGGCACTGAAGACATAGAAGTGGACAAGGCTGATAGACCCTTGATCTTGAGTAGCACAAAAATACAGATTCACAGAGCAAAGCTGAATTAATATGAAATACAGAGAGAGCAAACCTATATGCAGACATGAATGTGGAGAGAGCAGGAGGACTTGGGAGATGCATTCAGGCAAACTTGGCCTCATGGTCATGGATGTGGGATGGGTGTGCTGCTGCTCATTTGGGACAGTGAGAGTTCGCTCTTCACACAGTGCCCACACATTTGGGAAAGCACATACAGGGAAAATGCTTATCAGAGCAGCTGTTACATTTTTTCCACCTCTCCTGACTATGTCTCCATTTTTCTTCCACTTCCATCTTTTTGTAGGACTCACTGAGAAAATAGACCAAAACGCACACCTTTGTGGAAATGCCATTCGACGTAGCTACCAAGACTTGGCCAGCATTCTTCTGGGGACAGGCCCGATGAATTCCAACCCTTGCCCTGAGTTGCATGTTGTCTATTTTCCTCACTGGAGTCACACTCGTGACTTTGCATGACCACCGGTCCCCTTTATAGAACATGTTATCCTCATACGACCTCAAAGTGATCTCTGTAATCAGCTCTTCAAGCCTTTCCTAGATATATCATATAACTTATGATCCAGAAGGAGATACAAGTGCTACCTTAACCAATAATTGAGCAACAGTTAGAGAATTACTCAAGAATCAAGAGTAACTTGGGACGCCTGGGTGGCTCAGTCGGTTAAACTGCTGCCTTTGGCTCAGGTCATGATCCCAGGGTCCTGGGATCAAGTCCCACATTGGGCTCCTTGCTTGGCAGGGAGCCTGATTCTCTCTCCCTCTCTGCCTGCCCCTCTGCCAGCTTGTGCACTCTCTCTCTCTCTCTCTCTCTGACAAATAAATAAATAAAATCTTATAAAAAAAGAATCAAGAGTAACTTGCTATTGTGAGTTTTGAGAGAGAAAAAGGTTTGTCTGAATAAGCTGCTCCCGTTAGGACCCTTCAAGTCCCAGAGCCAAGAAGAGGTGATTCCACTGGGTGGGCTCAGCTAGGTCAACTTCCGGGCACTCCAATCTTGGGATTTTCTTTGTGTCTTGTGTTATTCCTCTGTAACACTGTATTTTCCCTTTCCTCCAAGCGTTAAGTTCCTGGGTCCTCAAGTTTAATTCATAATGACTTCATCTACTGTCCCTCTAGTCACTCACTCTGGTAATTTTTCTCTGATTTCCAAATAGCTTCTCTTTCAACTTTTCATACACGGGACTATATACAACTCACTCACACACAGTAATTCAACACAAAGAACCCATGCTCTTGCTCTTGACAAATATCTCTAAGGGGCAAAACCCTGATCCTTGTAGAAAAGGGGAAGAAATGGATTTTTTAAACAGAATATCGATTCTTTTACATAAAATAGGTTTGTAGGCAAACTATATTCAAATCATGAAATTATTTGACATCCTTAATTCTGAAAACTTTTTTCCTCCTCATATTACCGCCATCTTAAAAATATTTAATATGATGCCTTGGCACCTTTGTAAATTTAAACATTGCATATTATCATCCAAGGAATAAAACAGTCAGTGGGAGAATTAGCAGGGAGAAAAATTGTTTAGGAGTCCCTGAAGAGACTCCCATCACACTACAGGTGACAATGGTAGAGGGCCTTCAACTGCAGAATGCAAAGACAGACATGCTTTCAAATGTTATTAAGACTTAAATACAATACTGATTATAAAAATAAAACTTGTTTTCTTTAAAGAAAAAAAAAGAGTTAAATACAATAGATCTTGAGGACATTATGTTCAGTGGAATAAGTCAGAGAAAGACAAATACCACATGATCTCACTCATATGTGGCATCTAAAAACAAACGAAAAGGAAAAACAAAAACGGAGCTCATAGATAAAGAAAGTAGATTGGTGGTTGTCAGGGGGTCGTGGGTAAAATGCATGAAGGGAGTCAAAAGGTGCAAATATCCGGGAATAAAATAAGTAAGTCCTAGGGACGTAATGTACAGCATGGTGACTGTAGCTAACAATACTGAACTGTATATTTGAAAGTAGCTAAAACAGTAGATCATAAAAGTTTTCATCCCAAGAAAAAGAATTCTGTAACTATGTGGGGTAACGGATTATTGCGGTGGTGATCACTTCACAATATATACAAATGTCAAATCATTATTTTGTACACCTGAAACTAATATAATGTTGTATGCCAATTATGCCTCAATTAAAAAAAAAAAGTTAAATCTTAAAAAAAAAACAACAACAAGGGCGCCTGGGTGGCTCAGTGGGTTAAAGCCTCTGCCTTTGGCTCAGGTCATGATCCTAGGGTCCTGGGATCGAGCCCCGCATCAGGCTCTCTGCTCAGCAGGGAGCTTGCTTCCCTTCCTCTCTCTCTCTGCCTGCCTCTCTGCCTACTTGTGATCTCTGTCTGTCAAATAAATAAATAAAATCTTAAAAAAAAAAAAACTAGTTACAATTGCTAGTTCTATCCTTCTATCCAAGGACGATTCCACTGGAAGATCTCTTTGGTGGACGTGGATAGTCCCACTACATTTTTCCTTGGCAAGATAAATAGCATTTATTTGCACTTCTAGATTAAAAAGATAAAAAATGAAGGATGGGGCACCTGGGTGATTCAATGGGCTAAATGTCTGCATTGTGCTCGGGTCATGATCCCAGGGGCCCTGTGTCAGAGCAGGGAGTCTGTTTCTTCCTCTCCTCTGCCCCTCCCCCTCACTCCTACCCATGCTCTCTCTCTCTCCCTCCCTCTCTCTCAAATAAATAAAAAAATAAATCTTAAAAAAAAATTGAAAAATTGCTGGACCAGAAGCACTGGGGGCTTTGGGTTTTATGATTATTTCCCCCATAATGCAATTATTCAGTCACTGGCATTGTAGCTTCTGGAATTTTTTCTTTCTTTCTTGCACTTCTATTTTGTTCATTTGTTATTGTATGCCTGTACTTAGCAGATGGCTCCACCATGATAGTTTAAAATGTATTTGTTGAATTGAAATTTAATACAGACATGGAATTTTCTGACTACTTACTAAAACATAGGCTACTACCTACTGAGAAGTTTCTATGTCCCAGGCACTGGACCAGGGAGATGTCTGTGTACTCATAAGCATCAATAATGGGACTAATTGATGAAGATCCAATTGCCAGAAAAGGGAATGGAATAGTACAACTTTGTAGATGGAAAAATCTTTTGAAAACCTAAGAAATGTTTCTTTATTTATAATAGTGGAACTCTGGAAAAATCTAAAATATGCAATAATAAATTATAGTGGAAATGTCTGCAGCCATTAAAATTCATTAATTCATTTGACAAATATTCTGAGAGCCTCATGTACATGGAAATGTGTTCACAAAATTGTTAGGCGATAAAGTTTATATGCTGTAACTGGTATGCATAAATTTAGATATACATATTCTTATTTTTAGGAGATTTATGCAGGAGTAAGAGTAACGTATCATGATATCTACAACGTTTTTGAAAGAAACAGCCAAAAGTATGTGTGTGCACGTGTAAGAGAGAAAACAAAGGGACAAAATATTAACAACTAGTGAATCTAGGTAAAAGGTATACATGTGTCCCCTATACTATTCCTTCAGCTCTTTCTAAGTTTGAGAATTAAAAAAAAAAATTAGTGAAAAGCATATTCTTTATAATGATATATCTATGTGTCACAGTTGGGTCACAAATCTGAGTTTAACTTTTATTAATCAAACCAAAAAGGAGAATGTAGATAGGCAAACCACAGGGCTTACAAAATACAGACAGACCAACTGGTAAGGAGAACATAATGATACTCAGTGTGAAGATGAGGCAGAAGTTTTTATGGGGGTGTCCTGTCAATGAGGACACTGCGTTGTAATAATGTCCTTGGTGGCCTCTTTAGCTTAACTGTGACGGAATCTCAGTTCTGCCAAAACCCATTCATTGCGATCTGGTTCCTCATCTTTCACTAGTGAAGTTAATTACCCTGATACGTTTTAGAATAAATGGCCCACTGTCTTCTGAGCAACCTTTGCTAAATATTATTTCTTGCAACAGTAATTCTGCTAAATATTGAGAATGCAGCCTCTGGAAACGTCTGGAGGTGAGCAACTTTTAAGATGGTCATTTCGATCACAGTGAAAAAATGGGACTCACACCTTTTTTCGGACCTGAGAGTCTGAATGGGGCAGCTGTCTCTAAAGTAGGTCATCAGTCTTACCTAAGATACAAGCCCAATGACAGCTTGCTGCGAGGCCAACATTCTTCATTCTT